TCAAGGATTTTAGACCCATTAGTCTGATCGGGTGCATTTACAAGATCATTGCTAAAGTCCTTGCCTTTAGATTGAGGGAGGTCCTGGATGGAGTTATCTCTGAGTCTCAGAATGCTTTCGTTGGGGGTAGACAGATTCTGGATTCTGCTCTTATTGCTAGCGAATGTGTGGATTCTAGACTTCGTAGTGGGACTCCTGGTGTTCTGTGCAAGCTGGATATTGAGAAAGCCTATGATCATGTTTGCTGGAATTTCCTGTTCTATCTGTTGGAGATGATGGGTTTTGGTAAGAGATGGAGGAAGTGGATTGTTTCTTGTGTTTCCACTGTCAGGTTTTCGGTGTTGGTGAATGGCTCTCCTTCGGGATTCTTTGGCAGTTCTCGTGGGTTGAGACAGGGGGACCCTCTCTCCCCTTTTCTTTTTATTATTGTTATGGAGGCCCTTAGCAGGCTGACGAGAAGGGCAGTGGATTTGGGTTTTCTTAGGGGTTTCAAGATTGGCCCTGAATCAGTTCAGCAGTTGGAGATCTCTCATTTACTTTTTGCGGATGACACTATTGTTTTTTGTGAGGCTGATATTTCCCAGTTGAGGTATCTGCGATGTGTCTTGGTTTGCTTCCAGGCTGTTTCTGGTTTGAAAGTTAACGTGGGAAAGAGTGTGATTGTTCCTGTGGGGGAAGTTCAGGAGGTGGACACTCTGGCTGCTGTTCTAGGATGTGGGACGCAACGCTTTCCCATCTCGTACTTGGGTTTGCCGCTGGGGGACTCGGCTAGGAGGGTGGGAAGTTGGAACCCGGTGATTGAGCGGGTCGAGAGAAGATTAGCGGGTTGGAAAAAACAATATCTGTCAAAGGGCGGTAAAGTTACGTTAGTGAAGGGCACTTTGTCAAGCCTTCCAACGTACTTTCTTTCGCTTTTTCGTATTCCAGCCTCTATTGTTGGAAGACTAGAAATGCTCCAACGTAATTTCCTTTGGGGGGGTCGCGGTGAAGAGTTCAAGTATCATCTTGTCAAATGGGAACAGGTTTGCAGGCCTATTCGGTTGGGAGGGCTTGGAATTAGGAGATTGGCCACTTTCAATTGTGCTTTTCTTGGTAAGTGGCTTTGGAGATTTGGTAAGGAAAGACATAGATTATGGAGAAAGGTTATCTCATGTCGCTTTGGGGAGGAGAGAGGAGGGTGGTCAGCTAGATCAGTCAGGTCTGTTGGCGGAGTGGGGGTGTGGAGGGCCATTGGTAAGGGGTGGGATGCCTTTTCCAAACATATTAGATTCAGAGTTCGGGATGGAAGAACTGTCCGGTTTTGGGAGGATCCATGGTGTGATGATAAGCCTTTGGCCCTTTTGTTTCCCAGGCTTTTTAGGATTGCTGTTGACAAACATGCAATGGTTGCTGACTATTATCGCCTTGATAGTGGAAGGTTGTCTTGGGATGTGCGTTTCCGGCGAGCTTTTCAGGATTGGGAGTTGGATGATGTCACTGGGTTTTTGGCTCTTCTTTACGGACAGGAGGTGGAGGGGTCTGGGGCAGATTCTTTGATTTGGGTGCCTTCTTCTCAGGGGATGTTCCAGGTCCGGTCCTTTTTTGTGTGCCTTTCTGGTTTTCATGGTACCTCATTCCCATGGAAGACGGTGTGGAGGTCTAAGGCGCCTCTTAGGGTGGCCTTTTTTGTGTGGACTGCTGCTTGGAGTAAGATTTTGACGTTGGACAACTTGAGGAAGAGAAGACATATCATTGTTAATAGGTGTTGTCTTTGCAAGATTAATGGGGAGTCGGTGGATCATCTTTTGTTGCACTGTCCTGTGGCTCATGATTGTTGGAGTTTGATGTTTGGCCTGTTTGGTATTCATTGGGTCATGCCTCGGACATCTTGGGAGTTGTTAGATATGTGGAGGGGCCAATGGTTGGGGGCTCAGGTCAGAGTTTTTTGGAGGGTGATCCCTTTTTGTATTTGGTGGAGCCTTTGGAGAGAGCGTAATGGAAGATCTTTTGAAGGAAAGGAATCCTCCATTGGGGTGTTAAAATTTTCTATCATTTGTAATTTGTTTTGTTGGGGTCAGGGGAGAGACTACTCCTCTCTTGAGGAGATTGTTGACTTTATGAGTTCTTTGAATTCATAGGCTCCGTTTTGTCTTTGTATAGTTTGGGTCGCGTTCCCCTTTTTGAACGCTTTTAATACAATTTACTTATCAAAAAAAAAAATAAGTCCATCTAGACCCGAAGCTTCATCACTATCACAACTCTTCAAGGCCATCTCTACCCCTTCCTTGCCAGACTCTCTAACCAATCCCTATCCTCTTCAAAGATTCTCTCAAACTCCAACCCATTGAGCAAGGGTCTCCAACAAGAGGATTACATATACAGTTGTTGATAGAATGAGACAATCCCACTCTTGATATCCTCTTATTTGCTTAACAAGTATCCATCAATGCAAAATCTGCCCATATGGTTCCCCAACCTGTGAGAATTCACGAATCGATGAAATAAACTTCGTATACCAATCCCCTTCCTTCAACCACAAGGCTCGAGACTTCTGATGCCAAAATATCTCCTCCAACAATGCAATCTCCCCATGCTCAACTTTGCACTCTTCTTTTTTGCAAACCTCCACATCATCTAATGCCTCCACTCCTTTTTGGGGATCCAACTCAGAGATCTCCATCAACAGCCTATTCTTTTGCCATTCCAAATTCTCAAACACCGCCTTCTTCCACTTTCTAATATCCCCCTTTCAACAGCTGGAGTGTACTAGCCAGTACGAAGCTTGGGCTTCCCCTTACTTCATAGCTTGCCCACCAATTCTGAACCCTCTCCTTGAAGTCCTCCACTCGAAGCCACATGTTCTCGAACCTGAAAAGGACTCATCTCCTCAAACCCCTGCAATCCAAGGAAACTAGAATGTGATCGAAAGCCGTTCTGGCCAAAGCCACTTGCGCTGCATCCAAAAACTTCTCCTCCAACCCCCACCCCCCCCCCCCCCCCCCCCCCCCACCCCCCTTCTTTTCTCTCCTCTCCGGGGGCGAAATCAAGAATATATCAAGTCGAGACAGAGTATTGATATCTCTGTCACTGGACCAAGTGAAGCAAGCTCCCTCCAATGGCAAATCAACCAACTGTTGTGCGTTAATGAACTTAGAGAATCTTTCATAGCTAATGGCCACCTTCCCATTTCAACCATAATTCTCACCACATTGAAGTCCCCACCCATGCACCATGAGACACTCCACCTCTTATTAGGTGAAGCAAATTCCCCCCACAATTATCTCCTCTTCATATCTGTAATAGGGTCGTACACCCCAGAGAATGTCGAACGAGTGTCATCCTCCTCCAAAGATAATAACACAGAGACGTCGACCTTCAAAACCCATCTCCTATCCCAAAGCATCAAAATCCCGCCCGACCTTCCAACCACATTGATCGCCTCCCATTCAACGAACCTCCCACACCAAAGGCTCCACACAACCCCATCCGAAATGCAAGCCAACTAAGATTCTTCGTAGACATACTACTTGAGCATCCCACTTACAAATACATACCTTCACCACCCTTTCACTTACCCAAGTCATTCATAACCTGAACATTCCGCAACACTATTCAAAGCTTCATAGGCGCACAATTTCTCTCCCTCCCCCAACCCCGCCCCCCCCCCCCCCCCCCCCCCCCCCTCTCTCTCTCCCAACTCCTTTCGTCATAGTTGACATATGAGATTAAATTTCAGAGCTCTATTTCCCTTCTCCTAATGAATTTTTTTTTCTTTTCATCATTTTCAAATCAATTCTCTACTGATTCTCAAATAGAGTGAAATAGATCTTTAGCCATCCCCTCCTCTCCTTCATAAGTAAGCCCGAGAGTTTTACTCAAATTGCCTATATTTTCCATCCATCCATCCATCCCCAACCACAACCCCAACAACTCATCATGGCACAGAGACAGATACGAGATATAGATACGCCACAATACAGATATAGCAATAGGACAAATTCATAAAATATATGATACGAATACAGCAAGGGCACGACAATATATATTATATTATTGTTGATAGGTATGTAAATTAATATATATATATCTACTTATAAATTTAAAATAATATACAATTCTTTATCAAGTCATATATATTGTTATTAACATTTCTTTAAAAAAATTATGACAGAAAAGTTGAGTTTAAAGTATATTTCATGCATCAATTTTTGGACTAAATTTGTCATGAAAATGTTCTCATTAAATCTCAATAATTCTTTTTTAAGAAATGCTAAGCTTTTCTTAACAATTATACCGTGATATTATACTTTAAAAAAATACACTTAAAGGTTACAGAATTGTTAAATATGTTTCTCAAAGTATTAAGGTAAACATTGGATATCTGAGAAGTATAGGATACGTGTTCAAAATAAAAACATTTATTTTCAAATTATGAATACATTTAGGAAGTATCTGACACTATCTGCGAATATCATGCCTCGACCCGGAAACGATACAGATACGTCCCCTTTATAGAATTTTGTGTTTTATAGGTAGGAACAATCACGTGGTCTTAAAACCATGGATGGGCCAAAATCATATTACTACATTCTTCAAAAATACATGTTTTAAACGGATGTGCTCTCAATGAATGCATTCCCAATCATTTTGCATCACTATATAAGAACTGAAATTTTATAAAACCAGAAGCATGCAAATGATCTATGGATAGACTGATCAATCTCCAAGTATATGCATCAGTGTTACCGTATCACATAACATGATCAAAAGAAGCGGTCGGACACTTTGAAACATGGGGAAAAGTTCATTTTTTTTATAACCCCATTAAAATGAGATAAGCCAAGTCTGGATGCTGCTATTATAGTGGTCTTTTACATTATATAACCATAATTAGTCGAACCCATATGACAATGCCAAAATTGCAAAACATCAACATTCTGGCCAAACCAAATAATTATAACATAACAGTGAACAAAATGAAAGATTCATGAATGTTAAGTTCATCAATTGTGATATAATACCTCAAATCGTCTCGCCGTTGTCTTGGTCAACCTCCGATTAAGCCGATCAGGGTGCCAAAACCTTGAGCTATTCCCGGCAATCGCAGCCGACACTTCTCCGTGCCGGCGCGCCGTAAAATTCGAAATCACGGACATTTCCATGGATCATGAAACACAAGTTTCTGCTTCCTAATTCTCGCAATCTAGAGACAATTCAAATCAACTAGGGATTGATAGGAATCAAGGAAAAGAATCTTTCGGTGATAGAATTTCAAGATTTGAGAGTGAGAAAGAAGTGTTGAAAGAGAGAATCTGAGAATGGGAGGCGGAGACACCGAAGCTATGTGCGTTTTAGACAGAGAGTAAGGAAAGGGGAGGCGAAGACACCGAAGCTTGGGCGTCGGCGCATGCCTTCTCTCTCCTCGCAGGACAGTTGCAGAAAAAGGTGTTTTGCGGTCGTAAATATTGAAATGGAAGTAAATGGTGACAAGAGAAGAATGGGCCCATGGGCTCCGATTGTGGTGGTTGCTTATTGGTGTTCGGCGGAGATTACACAGCTCTGCTCTAACTAAACAGCCAACACGACACGTGAGTTTGAACTGTTAAGTTGTTATGAGTTCTTTTTGAATCATACATTTTGAAAAGAAAAATACAAATTACTATCAAATAAGCAAATATTAAAATGGTGTAATTGTAAAACAACCAATTCAAAATAAAATAAATTTATATATGTTATACAATAATTTGTTTCTAACCCTTCCCTTCAAAAGATAAAAAATATATATTTATACTTAATCTAGGTTTATTTTATTATTATATTATTTTTGACCTTATGTGCAGGCTCTGTTAAGTCCAGTCCAAATAACCAAAATTTTAACTCATGGGTATAATCAATTGTCACATTTTTCAAAGTTATCTTACAAGATCTACTAAAATATGATATGATTTCTAATATTGATGAGACATAAAGGTTAAATTATTATTTTTCAAATGCTTGGTTGCATATAGAGTATTATTGCATTTGCTGAGAAAATTTTTTCAAAGTTGAAGTTGATCAAAACTTACCTATGATCGACGATGTCATAAGAGATATTGAATGTTGGAGAAACTTGATTGGAATACTTTAATTGATAATTTTACAGCTCAGAAGATAAGACAATCGCATTTACTTTGATATGAAGTTGAATTTTGATTTTTATTACTAAATTGTGTTGAATATTTATTGTAGTTTTTTTTTTTTTTTTTAATATTTATATACATTGGATGTGCTCTTTATAAAGCATCAAGAACAGATTTTGCTTTATGTGTTTTCAACATTAATATATTTTGTGTTTATCGTCTCATTCTAATGAAAATTTCGTACTCTGAATAGTTTTTTGGGCGTGTAAAACCTTATAAAGAATCTCGCATTTTAAAGTTAACCTAGGTTTCTCAAAATTTTGGGAATCTCAGGGCTAACCCTGAGAGAGGAGAGAAAGAGAGAGGCAGAGTAGCAAATAAAAAGAAATGTTATTTTACACTCCCTTTAAGTACCTATAAAGCTTACAAATCTTATTATTGGAATTTCATGCCATATATTCTCATTATAAATTTTAAAGTAGTTGTGGTGAAGTTGCATTGCACAAGGAAAAAAATGATGATGATTGTAGGTGCAAAATTTCTCTCTATTAAAATAAATAAAAAGAAAAATACAACTCACTCAGAACAAGCAATTATAATACTCAGAGATAAGCGTATTGTGACGGCCCAAGTTTTTCAACCTGGTGTGTTTGTGATGACCTAAAAGTTGACCCGATATCAGATCCGAAATGAGGAAGCAAAAGATAAAACCATAGTCCTTTGAGATATAAATCATCTCTAAGGCACCAATGTGACATTCCATGATGTCACGAAACTTAAGGAGAGCTAAAGAGGAAACTAGAGTCAAAACGGGATAAATCCGTCAATTAAGGGCAAAATAGTCAATTCACAAATAAAAGGAGAGAATTGACTCTAAACAAGTCAGACAAGGTGAATACAATCTAATCTAATCATTTCGTAACACTCCAAGAGGTTCTAAGAACTTTGGACAAGAATCCCACAAAATGTCATTTCCCGGTTTAAGCAAAAACTAATACTACCTCACTAAAATATGAATAACTCCCACTGTGATTGGAATCTAAGAATAGTATAGGTACCATTGGAAAGCTGACTCAAAATTCTTGAGTTTAGGCTCAAGAATCACCCCATTTGGATTAGAAATAAAGGAGTTATGACCTTTTGAAGTTGGAACTTCAGTGCTGGAACAAATCCTGGAAGGTAGGTGCATGAGGGCTATTTCGGTCGATCAAATAGAGTTTCAGTTGGCCGAAACTCACAGAAACTTTGCTGAAATTTTGTTTTTAAGGTGAGGTTGGTTCGGTAGACCGAATTGGGCCATCGATCGACCGAAATAGGCCATTGGTCGATCGAAATGGTCCTGAACAGTGAAAAAACCTACTGGAATTGAAGATTTACTGTGCATTGAAGCTTCCAAAAGCCATCGGTCGACCGAAATAATTACAATAACCTATGGCCTACTGTGAGACCATAGGTTTAACCTACTGTAAGACCTACTATATGCCCAATGTGTTAAGGTTTAACCCATGCTTCAAATCCCCTCATGAATTGGTTCAAAAATGAAGTTTAAAACTGATTTTTCAATAAGATTTAAGTATGTGAGCATGTCAACAACCTTGAAATGAATAAATGAATTAATTACAACAACCTATGGCCTTATACATGTTAATTATAAGGATTTCACATGCCAAACCTCCAAAGTTGGTTTAAATACATTTTTTTTTTTTGTAGTAAAAGTTGGTACCAAATGAACACAAGTGCTAAAGTAAACATACTTGACCCTTGGCCTCATTACATACATGCTTATAATGTCAAAAGTAAGTACTTATGTATCATTACATATCAAGGTACCTACATTAGCTTTTATAATACCATACACCCATGGTATACAAAATATGACGCCAAAAGTAAAGCATGCTAAACACTTGCATGTTAATATACAAAAATACTTTAAATTGCTCATAAGCTTCTAAGAATGATGAGCATCCAAGAACATAGTCTCCTTACCTGTAAAACAACCTAAACCACTAGGGTGAATAATCAAGTTACTCGTAGAAAGAAGCATATGCGTATATCCTAAAGTTTCAATATCATTGCAAGATCAATATAGACGAATACAAGGGAGCATTCCACTTAACGTCTATGTTCAAGGTGTTCTAAGGGATCATCTTAAGCTAACTTAAATGATTCTTTAATAACACATATCAACATCAATGTACTTAACAACATCAATTCGTCAATAACAAAAATTACAAGTTACAATTAAGCATTGATTGTCAACTTGGAATTGAATGCGAAATCAACTAGTTGAAGACTTGGGCATCACGTCTCGGGGTAAACCAAGATCAAAACGGTTATTCCGGGCATTAACCCGTTGGGAAGACCACCCTAGTGCACACTAACTCAGTTGGAGAGAACTCATACCTCCCGCACTAGAGCAAAACTCTAGCCATATCACTTGTAACAATATCCCAAGAGAATCCAAAATCATAATCAAGTTCAAAACTCATACACTATAATTAAAGCATATAAACTACCTTCCATACACAAGTATTTTGAAACCACACAAATCATATCTTAGGGTTCTAAGTCTAAAATGGCATACCAAATGACAAGTCCTTATCATGATATTATGCACAATACCATACCACTAACTTATCATTTTAAATCATACCTCAACAATAAGCTTTATACACTAGATTACAACATTATAGTAACAAGCTTCTAAAGTAATTACAATTACCAATATTAATCAACTAGAATGTAAGATTAACATCACAATAGTATAATAATTCAAATCAATAAGAGTTCTATACAACATTAATAATCATACTCAAGATACATACACAACATACATGCTTAAAATCAATAAACCCTAAGTCAATCATAAGGATTTCCTATAATATGCAAGACTATTATATTAAAAGCATGTACACAATATATATTAAACCCCAAAGGATTATAAAACACTTAGAATATAAACATACTACACCCCTACCTCAATAGAGAATTGAATCTCTATAATCCAAGTAACCAAACTTAAAAATGGAAAACAATTTTGGGGTTAATTAAGAGGAGAGTGAGAGGAAACTTTTGTCTCCCAAGGTTTTTGGTCTAGGGTGAGTAGAAGGAGGCCAAAATGAAGAAGAAAGCTATTAACCAAGCTTTTCTCCAATGTTGGCTAGGTTTAGGTTTATGAAGAACAAATGAAATGAAAATGATAGTGTAAAATGGTGAGTAGAAGGTCTAGAAATCCTCCACTCACTATGTGTTCTTTCACTACCTCTCACACACACACAATGCAAGACTAAATGGTAAGCCTACACTTGTCACAAATCAATGGCTCCTTCATAGGCTTAATCTTAAGCCTACACTTGTCAACCATCTAAGCCAACAAGTGCTCCAATCCTAGGCCAACAAGTGGGTAAATCTCCACCCTCCAAACGTCAATAGGTTATCATCCCAAGTCATCCCACCCCATTGCCAACAAGTGGCACATGAGAAAGTGACACTTGTCACATTTTTCAAAAATTGCAAAAAGGTTCTTTTTCAAAATATCTTCCAAATTAAATTGCAAAAAGGTCCCTAAGACGAAAAATAATTATTTTACATAATTACACTAAAACTCCAAAAATCAAGAATAATTACAATAAAGTATGCATCCATGCCCTTTACGAAAAAGTAAGCAACTACAATGTATTTTCTACAAAAGTAAAAATACAAATATCATGGAATTTAAATATCATGAATGCATGTAAAACCGGAATCAAATCCGAGTACAAAAAGTGAGGTTATGCAAGGAAAAATGATAAATGGGAAAAAGACGAAATAAGGAAAAGACAAAATAGGAAAAAGACGAAGAAAAAAAAATCACCAAAAAAGGAAAAAGGGAGGAAAATGACCAGGTCATTACACGTATAATGCTCGATGATTTTATTGGAGGTCCAGGCCTCTATTTATAAGAAACAAGGTGGTGGAATTATGATAGGATTCGCCTGGCTTGTCCTCCAATCTATTCTATACATGATATTATTTACAATTATAATTCTTTTCTTTTTACAATTCTTTCCATGCAAAACTTTCCTTGCACATAATTTGCTTTCTTTATTGAATCTTTTACCTAACAGGACTGGTCTACCTTTAATTGAGGTTAGGCTACATGTGGGTTGATCCAAATGACTTGGTAAATAGGCTTGGAGTTCAACCTTAGCGCCCTGGGCTGTTGACGTTTTCACTAGGCCTGAATGAGATTGTACGCATCTGGGCTTAGTAAATGGGCCGAATGGCCTCAGTCAACGATCTATATGGAAGAAAGACTTTGCCTGGGCTTGTTCCGGATTGGGCTCTCCCAACTTGGGCTTGATACCGTTCGGGCCTTGTTGTATATAATATAAATTTGTAGTGTGATGATGTGGACGATTCTTATTGGAGGGGGGATTTTTTCCCTCCACACTTTGCCTCCAATTCTCTCTTTAATTGGACGACGG